CACTCCTATCAACCGCAACAACAGCGCCGACCCGGCGGTGGATTCAATATGAGACCCGTATGTCTGTCAGCAGTTGATTACGAGAGTTGTGTTTCTCACGCATTGCCATTACAGCCAATGTCTGGTCCGACGGGCAAACGCGGCAATCAGGGCGGTTGGGAGGGCCCGCCCAACAAGCGCTTCAACAACAAAGGCAATCGCGGCGGCGGACAGGGAGGAGGCGGTGGCGGAAACTGGCGTCAGGGCGGAGGCGGCGGCGGTGCCGGCCATCAGAACAAACAGAATAATCGCAACTTTAATAACAATCAGCGAAACAACAATAATAATAACCGAAACAATAGTAATAATCGGGAAATCAATCGAAGCAAACAAAACGATACACAACTGGAAAGAGTATGTCTTTTATGTCCATTTCCACCAATATTTGCATTCATTTTTCAAAATGCGCTCAAATTTGCGATTAATTTCTCTGTTTTTAATTTCGCGAAACATTTATTTTTTCACTTCAAATACCATTTACACCACATATTGAGTGAATTGTTTTAGTGTTAAATCAATTTTAATCCAAAGGACTCTTGAAATCCACTTTAATAATTGTATTCAATCTATGGATTGAATTTTGCGCTTAAATTTTTTGTTGTTGAAACAGAAAGTGATTTTCAGGTAATTTGTTGAGTCTTAAGCTGTTTAACCGGTAAACCTTAATTATGTTAATAACTGTTAATAATATATTAAATAATAGGGTTTAAATGAATTTAATAATATATCAACAATTTTAGCATTCAGTACACCACTGACTGAAATGCTGATCAATTATTTAATAAAAAATCTTTATTTAATCTCTAAATTATTGTTATAGAGATTGAAATAATTTACTAATAATTAGATTATAAGCTGATATGTGATCGAAAATATATGACACAAAGCTTATCATTTAAATTCAAATATAAATGATTGAAGAATTTAATAATTATGTATAAATTGCTGCTTATAATGAAAAAAGTACACAATTTTTACCGAATATTCACAGAATATAAGTGGATATTAATGATAAGCACTAAACACTATCTGTAATAAAAAGCACTTTTCGGACAGTCCTTTACCAGACATGCCATTACATCAGACATGGAATCCATTTAATAATAATAATAATGCAAATTTGGACATAGATTTTAATTCCCATTTGTATTCAGTATTAAAGTGCATCAAATGGACGCCACATTTCGGACAACGTTTTGGTGACAATGAGTACGTATTTTAAAGATTATTATTAAATGACATTAATTTATATTTAACCTAAATTTAAACTTAATGTTTTAATTATAAATGTTAGTAAATATTTTGCAAAAATGTAAATATTTTAGAATTGATAAAATCTAATGGACTTATTGTTAGCGATAATTAATGAATGTTTTGATAAATGCTTTTTTATATGTAATGATTAGTATAATTATGAAATATATTGTATATATTAATTGATTTGTTTGAGAACTAATTGATGATAATATGTGTATCACTTATTTTCCAGACAAGGGATTCCCAAAATAGAAATAAGAGCTGTCGATATCGTCGACAATTGGATTCTCGGCAATGCATATAATGCCAGCCCTTTATATGCCTTCATATGTATAATACAATTCATATGCCATTTAATTGTCGTATTTTTGCTTTAAATACGAAAAACAATTTAAAATACTAAATGTCTTAAAGTTTTGTCTTAAATGACTTAAAAACTGATAACTGAATCACCAAATGAAGGGCTGGAGAGAGAACTCAACACATTGTGAAAAATACTTTAATTCAAAATTATGTTTTGAATTAATTATGAAATAATTTTTAGTGACAATTATAAAGACTAATTTAAATGACAATTTATATCCTATTAAGGAATGATTTAAAATCATATGAAAACAACTTTAAGACATGATTACAACCATTCAAACCGATTATTAAATCGCTTAAAATGTGAAAAACTGTGAAAATTGAGGTTATTTTTGAATAAATACCTCTTAATTACGAAATACGAGACTTCGATATAAATAATTAAACCAAAGAATTTAATATTTGTGCCGTGAATTACACAATGATTTCTATCACTTGTATTTTGAAAACTATATGCAATTGATATTCTAATTAAGTATCAAATGCTTAAACAATGAAACCCTTTAAAAATTGAAACAATTATTTGTTTATTAAAACTATATTTTGCAAAACGCCTGCGATTTCTAAATCTAAAGAAATTTAATTTATCTTTTTATTGCGAATTTGCGTTAATTTTTCTTTTTATTATATTTAGCGGCGCTTTAGTTTAGTTTACGTTTAATTGCAAACATTTTATTAATAATAAATTACTTTATGATTACTTATAGCGACAACAACACGATTTGGCGCAAAAAGCGGCCGAATCTCTGGTCAATAAGGTTTGTATACATTTAACAAATGATATTTATTTGTAAAATTGCTAATAAATTGATGCTATGTTTAGGAATATACGATCGAAACGGTTGCTCCCAAAACAGATGATGATAAAAACAAGAATTTAGATATCGATGCCGCGCAAGAAAAGTATTTATTGGCTGTCTTTGGATACGTTTGCCGTAA